ATACTAGATAAAAAATGGAAAAAGATAATGGATAAAAACTCTAATGATACTTTTCAACCAAAAAAAAAAAAAAAAAAAAATAAATAAATAAATAAATAATAAATTATTACTTTTTCATGCATAGGTAGGTAGATATTAATTTAGCAAGTTTGAAATTTGATAAGCTAATGTTAATTTCCTCCATTTAAATTTTGCTTGTTCCCAGATGCAAATCTTTAGATATCAATTTTATTTGGATAAAGAAATTTAGAATTATTTAGACATAAATTAACACCCCATTAAAAATAAAACCATTAATGTATATTCTTACAATCAGAAAACATACACATATTCATGTGTATATGTATAATTTTATCGTTACTTTTAAAAACAGTTTTTTTTCTTCAAATTATTAATCAAGCAAGAATCTACATCTAAACATTATCCAAAATGTGTATTTAGAGATAAACAAAATGTAGAAAATAACTGCTATAAAGCAATTTTGTAGACAATAGAAACAGCTAGGCTTGATGTCTCCATGATTTCTCTTTACATCAGAGGTTGGCCATCATGTGGTGTTGTGTCTGACCAGTCAAGAAGAATTTTAAATCGGTTTGAAAAGTGAAACTTGAAATAATCATCTTCATCTTTTCCCCTGGAATAAAAAACACACATGTACTTTAATTAAAAATCAACTACATTTTTCATGTGATAACAAATACAAGTATATAGGCATATCTATTTTTGTTAAAATGTATATAATACTAAGCTAGTAGTTAGTATTTACACCTCCAAATAAATTGCCTCACAATTCCTGCATGTGTTCTTTAAAAAGCAGGCTTCCTATCACAGGTGCTTGGGGACGGGACCCCCCCCCCCCCCCCCCTGCGTTCCATACCCCAAGGGTTCTCCCCGACTTTTTTTATATAAAATATTTTTCTATAACACATTCACAAATTTTTTTTTAATTGACTTTAGACATAAACAAACATACAAACACATACACAAACACAGACACACCACGGCTGGAAAGCTTACATACAGATTTTTAGGAATAAACATGAAATAATAAAAAAATATGAATACACAAGATATAGTAAAATAATAATGTAGATGACATAGATTTATCTATATGTTTATGTTTTCAAATATCTGGTTCCAGTTAATCCATCTTCTTTTATAGTTTATACACATGAAGTTCATTGTTTTATTTATTTTTTATAAAAATTCATACTCTTGGATACTAAAAGAGAACTTTTAGTATCAGAAAGTATGAATTTTTATAAAAAGTTAGTTTTAAATTATATTTTGGATTTTTCAATTGTAATACTTTGTGAATGTGTCATAGAAATATATTTTATTTAAAAAAAGTCGGGGAGAACCCTTGGGGTACGGAACGCGGGGGAGGGGGTCCCATCCTCAAGCACCTGGTCTTCATATTTTATTTTATTCTATTTTTTTTATGTGTTTCCGTTAAGTCGACCATCTCTAATTTTTACCCACCACCTACCGGTACTACTTTATTGGCCAAATCAGATTTTAAACTGTACCATTGGCGGATTTAGAGGGGGCCCTGCCCCCCCCCCCCCCCCCCCCCCTTGGTGTCCAAAATATACATCAGATTTAATAAATCAATTTTTTTGGTGTGGCCTTGAGCCCTTACCCCGACACCAAACTGGTCCCTTCCCCTTTTCAAGATTCCTGGATCCGCCACTGTGTACGTTACCAAAAATATATGTTTTTTTATATTAAATTGCCTTGTGTATATTTTTCATTACATACAAACTTACATCTTCTATAACATTCTCCTCCTTTTGATAAACTTTGTAGTTATGATTTGCCAAAGGAAGTTGCTTTCTGAAGCAAGCAAAAATTCCTATAATGCAAATATATTACTAAGATGTATATCTGGAATGTCCTGCTAACATGGTGATCTTTGAATATAGACCAATGAAGTCTATTATATAAAAAAAATATTTAATTTAAAAATTATGTCAATTTAATTGAAAAAGCTTCTTACATGTAGTTTTTATACAAAATAAATATTTGAAAAAATTCAAATTTATACCTGTGCCTAGGGTTGTTCTAACCATTCCCACTGACTGCCGTATCTTCTGCTTGTTGTATTCCTCCAATTGCATCTTGCATTTTTCTCATGGGTTTTAGAGAGTACATGGAATCCCACATGATGGGAATACAAGTCAGACTTCATGAAATTTGTTTCAATATTTCGCAAAGTGAATTTGACTTAAAAATCTATAATTAATAAAGACCTATACATCATTATCAAGTTGAATGCTGAGAAAGCAGTGTCTCCTTCTTTTGATGACTTACTTTGTCATTCACACCTGAATTCCATTTTAAAAAGTTGAAAAACACATCATTTTTCTGTTATTGTTTCATGTTTATTTTTCTGGCGTCTGTTTTTGCCACATGTTGTTATAAACTTCTTTAGACTTCAATACAGGAGAGTCAACAAAGGGAAATAACACCAGTTTAATTTTTTGTCTTCAGTGCAAAAGAGTCAGCAAAGGGAAATAACTCTAGGTTAATTTTTAGGAAAAGTTATTATTTGAGGGGATTGGAATATGACTTTTAACTGATTTCCCCACCTCAAATCTTTTTGCATCTTTTAGATCTAAGCTCGATCTTACTGAAAATATCTTTTTTGTAAGTTTCAATTGCCTGCAAAAATTAATATGCATATCAAGAAATAGGCACCTTTGTATTCATTTTTATGACAAATTCATGTAAATTGATCTGTATCATATTAAAAACCTTGGGTTAAATTGAATAAAATTTAGATGCACAGAAACTTTAATTACTTAGCTATAAAATGAAACCCATGTTATGTTGATAACTTTCCTACATTAAGGAAGCACAGAATTATTTTACATGGTGATGACAATCATGTCAGTTTTGCCATAACAAAATATTTCAAAGTAGTTGCTATGGAAACCAAGGAGGTACTGTCCAAAATTTACCCACCAATAGTCTTTATATAGGGCACTCTCTAATACTATAGTGATAAAATAAAATTCCACGATAGTGCGTGGCCAAGCATTTTTGGTCCTTACAGAGAATTGATGTTAAGATCTTAGAACATTGACTGAAAACAAAAGTACGTGTATGTTATTCTTAATATATTAAGCTCAAATAATTCAAGCAATGCGTAACATACTACATGTAACCCAGACAAGCACTAGTAGCACAGACAGAATAAAACCAATGTGATTAAATTCTAAGGAATAAATACGATTGAAATTCATGGCAGCTCAATGCTGCCGAGAATACCTGTATCGAGTAACACAGAGTGAGTTATTCTTGTCCTCGGAGAAAGTGTGCTTATACTGAGATTTGTTCCGCCTGACTGACAACTGTACATTGGATTGTTACGATTTGATCTCTCTTTAGTGTTTTTTATATCAAGAATGGGAATGCATAAAGAATAGATAATTGAAGGAAAATAAACAAGCCTCTAAAAAATTTAAAATAGTCTTTGAAAAGGCAAAAATTTAATACTATAAAAGTGTGGCACCAGGTGGATTCGAACCCCCGACTTTAAAAAGATGATATCCACGGTATAATAGTCAGTGCACATATCAACTGAGCTATTCTGACTATAAGAATAACTCGTAGAAATTTGAAACAGATTGTAAAAAGCAGGTTTCCTTATTTTGTGTAGGTTTTTTGTGAATTTTGACCCTAGGGCAGGGGTGCCCCTAAAAAAATCCTATCTTAAATTATTCCTTACATCCCAACCTATCAAAATGTCACAATTTTATTTAGGGGCAGGCCTGCCCCGAAGGACTTCTAGGCCAAAATTCATGCAAAAATCAACGCTTTAACGGACAAAATGGTGTTTCGGCCAACTTTGGAGGTTTATTGTAGAGTTGTAAATAATAAATTTTAGTTGTAAAATACAAATTTGAAAAATTTAGACATATGCGGTAGAAAACAAAAAATAAAGATTGATTTTTAAATGTCACTTTTTCTGGGAAATCGTTCTCTCCTATAGGTCAATTCTTTTGTAATAGTGAATACATCCTTTGTACTATGAATATTAATAATAGAGCAAGATAGGCTGGATAAATGGGTTTATGCTCGATTTTATGACTACACTCGTTTCAAGTTGAAGTGCTACGTACATGTATATTTTTCTTTTGGTGATAATGACAAATGGGAATATAGATAGCGATAAGAGAAACAGACAATTAAATCTACTTTTAGAGTTGTTGTAGATTACCATACAAACCCGTTTGTTGATTCATAATTGTCCCGTTTCTTTCATTTCTATCAATATACAGTTATTGACTAGGTATGAGGGCAACATATGATTTGTTGGACCTGAAGGTAAAAATGTTGCCCGAGGCCGCAGGCAAACAAATCATATGTTGCCTGAATCCCAGTCTATAACTGTTTTGTTATGCCCTTCACTTAAGCTTTAATCAATACACACTGTATTATCAATTACTTTATATGGAAAATTTTGGCTTAATCAATAAATAAAACAAAAGCTGAGAAAGAAAAAACTTAATAATAAAATTGTTATATTACAAAAATTATTTATCAAAAAACTTATTCTTCCCGTGTCTCTGTCTTTCAAATACTAGTAGCAACAACTCTTGCAGCTCTAAACTTTGGCTATTTCCATGTCGCTGATATTGAACAATGATTAATTACTTGTGACGTAGCAGTGATGGTCTAACAATTCTTACAATTCTTATGTTGGACTGGCAGGCCGGTCAACCATGAAATTGTTAGACCGATGTAATAAACATTTCTTTTGTTGTACTTTTTATTAGTAATAAATATATAGAAAGATATTTATAAGGGTATAACAATTACTTTAATTTGTTTTATTATTTAGCTACCATATTGTCATTCTATGAATCCTTTACAGGTTGTATTGTACTCAGGTGAGCATTACGGCCCTTCGGCCTTTTGTTTGTTCATTTGTTCAGATATTTTATTTGTTATCACTTCTAGACTAACTGTTTAGAGTTTCATTGGTCTTTCAGGATTACTGTGACCACATTAATGAGATAACAAACAAACTTGTTACTGTCATGGAGGGGGTCATAGCTCAACAACTGTCAAAGGTTAGTATTAATGTCAAAGATCGCTGTAGAGGTCAAAGATCATCCACAATGAATATATCTATTTAATCTGACCATTTTATAAATATTTCTATTTCTCACATATTTACTTTTCCATCTGAAATTAAAGCAAAAGCTTCTTTTGTAAATAAACATCATGATAAAATGTTCAGTTTTGTCTCTTTTTCAGTGGGAAGTGAAGGCCCCTATGCCCTCCATGTGTTTTAGGTCCATCTGTAAACAAATCAGCAAAATGCACGAAGCTGTCCTTGACATTTTGTTGCCAGATCAAATCAAGGTCAGTTCTCAGTTTAACCAGTAATATTCCATATTTATCATTTAAAAGGTGCCAATATTACATGTATAACATGCAATCATGCAGTTTGTTACTATTTTTATGTACATTTCAAATACGTACTGTATAACGGGTATTTTTTACGTTCTGCTAATTTTTACTGATTTTTACGAGACTTTTTAAATCCATAAAATCTAAACGTGTAAAATTTCACAGAAGTAAAAATACACCTTGCATAAATTTTCAATTTCGTATGTATGAGAGTAATGCTAATTGCCATTCAGCTCAGTCCCTGGAGGCTATAGAATCAGTACTGTTGGTATTTTAGACCACTTTTAAGTTGATGATCAATTGGGATCATACAGGTAAATCTGAATTAACTTGCATAAGTTATACAAACATAGTCAATTACCTGTGTTGTGCCTGCATTGCCAACTTATATTTTGTTTTAAAATAAATTTCTTAGTTATTTCTCTACAGAGAACTTAGAATGATTGTTCACATTTTGTGCGGTGGTTGTCCATTGTTATGCTGATTTTACGAGTTACTGTTGTCTATATGAACTTTAAGAGTGTCCTTAGAATTATCATAATGTTTCTAAAGTCTTTCGATATAGTAAAGTAAAAGAAATTTTCTTGTGAATTATTACCATAATTTTGTTGGATGCTTACTGGAAATGGCTTTTACACACTAATTGAAGAACCAGTATGGTAGAAAATTCGGACTTCCGAATAAGTTGCTACATACGCCGACATACATGTACACTTACAGATACAAAACTTTATAAATAGGACGTCTGGACTAGATTAAAAATAATTATAGATTAATCCCAGATGCAATGAATAGTAACAAATATTAATTTTACACATTTATTGTGAAACAATGATTACATTTTGTGGCGACTATTTGTCACAATCTATTTATACATAGATGCAAATACCCCGGCGGAACCCAGGGAATCACTACCTGCCTACCGGGATGACCTCCCTAGATCCTTGGCGCGATAGCGCCCCCACAGGTGACTGTGGTGGGAACAGACCTCTTGGTACCAACAAGAGTGAGTGCCACATCAAATGAATGAATTCAAGTTCTGACTCGGGCCCTAACTCTATACCTGCCTCCCCTGGAATACAACAACAACATGGGGATAATACCCCCAGGGGTAGGCCCCAAAACTTGCCTTTGGTACCCACAAAGATCAAGCTGGTCCCTCAGGTACCGCTGAGGTAACCCCAAATTAATCCTCCCCAGTACTGAGGATAGATTACCCAGAGTTTTGAGCCAGACATGAGAGAATTCCTCATTCGTGGTAATCCCCGAATTCCGCCGCCCCCATCCCAGATTGTGACTTAAGAAACTTTACCATAATCCCAAAGCAAGAAAATTCTCAATATATATTTACAAGCTATACTTGCTTACAATACTTATTAAAAGTAACACTGTACAGTAACACTGTACGTAAACACATAATCATCAATGATCACCAATTTCACTGAAGTACTGATTATGTATCACACCATAGAAATGTCCAATAAAACTCAGTATTGAATCATTTACATTGATTTCAACAGAAAATGTCCAATTGACACCAAATGGTCCCACCATATACATAATGACCACATCCTTTCTTTGCTAATGATACAACCGCTAGGTTGTTCCACATACACATCTCTTTCCATGTAAGAATAGGCTTCTGTCACTGAAATTACAGAAGAGAAAGCAGCAAAAATCTGTACACATATTTTAGGGAAGGGTGGGTGGGTGAAATTTTGCAACATGTCTGCCCTTCTAGCTTTTTCGGTAGACTATGAAAATCGGGTCATAAGGTGCTTGATTGTATTGCGTCCTCTATTTAAAACTCATGGTCTCAATAATGTTTAACCACTACCAAGAACGCACGAGTTATCGCTCTTGCACTGGTATTAAAAGCATTTATCACAATATGGTGATAAATGCAATTAATCCCAGATGCAATGAATAGTAACAAATATTAATTTTACACATTTATTGTGAAACAATGATTACATTTTGTGGCGACTATTTGTCACAATCTATTTATACATAGATGCAAATACCCCGGCGGAACCCAGGGAATCACTACCTGCCTACCGGGATGACCTCCCTAGATCCTTGGCGCGATAGCGCCCCCACAGGTGACTGTGGTGGGAACAGACCTCTTGGTACCAACAAGAGTGAGTGCCACATCAAATGAATGAATTCAAGTTCTGACTCGGGCCCTAACTCTATACCTGCCTCCCCTGGAATACAACAACAACATGGGGATAATACCCCCAGGGGTAGGCCCCAAAACTTGCCTTTGGTACCCACAAAGATCAAGCTGGTCCCTCAGGTACCGCTGAGGTAACCCCAAATTAATCCTCCCCAGTACTGAGGATAGATTACCCAGAGTTTTGAGCCAGACATGAGAGAATTCCTCATTCGTGGTAATCCCCGAATTCTGCCAAATGAACTTGTCTATACAAGTTCACCCGCCACTAACGTGTTTGGTGTATACATTTTAATTTTTAATTCATTCCATGTCACCCACCTGACCTTTAAATTTTAAATTTTATAAGTGTTCATGTATAATAGACACTTATTAGTTGTTCCATTTAATAAATCAAGACTCATCTTGGATTAAACTTATATCGGACCAAATAATTGACATACTTCGGACTAATAACTTGCAGCATAAGCAGGAACATTCCATACTATGAAACAATAATGATCCAGGCGAGGTGCCCCGGTCCTTGAAACCTTAATGTACCACCCAAGTGCATTTAAATTTATTCTAAATCAAAGAGTCAAATTCCTTCAATCTAATTTCCCTGACTCCAAACCCATTTTTTTTTTTTTTTAAAAAAAATCAAATCGAGGGCTTTTTCCTCAAGGACCAATGATGTCACTTTGGGTAGCTCAGTATCCTATGAATGCCATATCCCAGACTACACACAATCTACAAAAACTAAAATTTTTATATGGATAGATGTATAATACGTTTAAGCCAAAATTGAAATTGAGCTATAATATTTTAATTATACAAATCTCACACCAATGTTTGAGGCATGTATAGTTATGGATTCCACCCGCCCAATTGTTTAATAATTTGTTCAGGAATGCCCTATAATACTGCTGCTGAAAAGAGTGTGATCTAAAACAGTATTTGTTTATGTTACAGAAATGAATAGTATTGCAATTAGGGTTTGATAACTAATAACACGTTAGTCGTTAGGGGATTACCATTGAAATGTACCAAAAATTGGCCATGGCTAGGTGTACCAAGTTCAGACTCTATTGTTAATGATTTGTTCATCCATCTAGCTTAATGATGCCAATGTGACATTGTTGAAAAGGTGTGAATCAATTATTGAAACTTATCGTTTCCAATATTGACCTGAGATGCACGAGGACCCAAAGCCCAAAAATGAAGCCACTGTCAATGTAAAATAGAATCTGCAATTTAATTTGATATAATAACTAACTAATGAACACTGCTTAAATATAATAGTGAAATAAATGATATTAATTACAAGTTTCTAACCAATAGTCTGACTTTAGCAGAATTGACTATTTGCACGACCGATTGCTTGTCAGTATGTAATAATATCCTGTTGTTAGCCAAAGGTACCTGAATAAACATTTATAGGTATCCCGGAATTTGGAAAAAATTGCATGTTATTAATACTCATATCATAATGGCATTTTTCTTATATTTTTTCCAATCATTATATAACACATACCTGTAGTGTAAAAGGCATGTGCTATCGTTGGAAGACATCAAATATATCACTTCAAATTTCATATCATGGTTAACAAAGCAAGCTTGAAGGAATTCGATTTATCTAAAGATTTTTAAATACTTTTATGGGACACAAATGTCAACTTTCCCAGTTTCTAGACTACGAAGAACTTGAGTTGCGTGAATAAAAATTGTTGCACGAAAAGATTGAATTTCAAGCTTAATTTGAGTCTTTTTTGATTAAATGATCTTTTTTTTTTTTTTTTTTTTTAAAGAGTTATCCCTCTTGGCTGGGAGGCGGATATTCGATTACGAAAATCAGCTACATAACTTCATCTACTTTATTTTTAGTTATTTTTACTTAATTTGTGTTTAGCATTCTAGACACCTATCCTGGGATTGTTACATAGCTCAGTCAATGTATCTTGAGGTAAAACATAAGCATAGATATAACTGTCTCCATTCTATCCCTTAGAGTCAAACCTGATGAGAGTTGTCTTGTCATTAGATATTCCACGTTCAACACAAACCTAGTGCAAAATATCTAGCATATGTTTACAAATAGTGTCTCCCAATTTTCCTGTAAAAATAAAAAAAATCATCTATGTAATATACACTATGTAATAACATTATCAATAAAAATATTTCATAGCTCTTAAAGACCAATGAAGGCACCAATAGAATTTCTTAATTAAATATACACTCCATGAAGTTTAATATCATTGGATATTTCTAAAATCTAACTCATTTAATGCCCAATCCATATTGGTAATATAATTCTAGCTAACCTTACAGCTACATTTATTTGCAATTATGATACTTCACCGGATAAGAATAAATGACAGTGGAGTGTATTATAACTGTGTCTAAAATTATATCATTTCTGTTTATATTTTAAATTCTGCTCTATAAATGCGAGGTGATTATATATGTAGACTTCCAAAAATATCTATATCATTGACAATTCTATAGATAAGAAACCTCTAGAAATCTCAACACTATTGGAATATATGTATCTTGTTCATTTTATGCAATATATTCAGTTAAACAAACCCAATATTAGGGGAATAAATCCTTTGAAATAAAACCCCGACCATATAGGGGTACAACATCTTGTCTGAATTCAACCCCGACCATATAGGGGTGCAACATCTTGTTTGACTTCAGCCCCGACCATATAGGGGTGAAAAATCCTGCTAAAATTAAACCCCGACCATATAGGGGTGCAGGATACTGTTTAAGTAAACTTCAACCATACATATGC